ACAGGCCGAGTCTTGGGACGGCTCTTGAATCAGGGCTGGAGGCCTCGGAGGACCATAAAACTGTGCAACTTTGGAGGAGAGGAATTTGGCTTGATTGGCTCTGTCGAATGGATGGAGGAAAACTCTTTGATCTTCAAGCAACGAGGTGTCGCGTACTTGAACACCGATGTTCCTGTTCAGGGAAATTATACTCTTCTGGCCCAGACCGGCCCGTTGCTTGGTAGTGTTATCTACAAGTGGACAAAAATGGTCAAGGTACCTACTGAGGAAGGGAAGTACGAAACTATGTATGATGTCATGTTGAAGCGAGGACCGAAGCCCTCAACCCCGGGTGAACCGAAACTTTGGCCTTACCAGTTCGCAAGTGATTACATCCCTTTTCATTTCATGGCAGGTATACCATCTGCAGATTTCAGTTATTTCTTTGGCTATGACAAGGACAAGGGTGGTTGGCAACTTTATCCATCTTATCATACGCAAGAAGACACCTTTTACTGGGTGGAGCAATTTGCTGATCCAAAGTTTGAAATTCACCGTGCCATGACTTTACTTATGGGAGGCATGCTTTTGGATTTAGCCGACTCCCGAATCATCCCCCTGGACTTACCGCGGCTGAACCATTCTTTACATCAGGCGCAGTCTAGTCTTTTCTCTCTTTCTACCTCGTTTCCAAACGACAAACGTGTACTTGATGGGTTGTCGGCTGTCAACAGATCCCTTCTTGAGTTTGTGAGAGCGTGCGAGTCTTTTGTGTCCGCAGTCCTTGAAACAAGCAGCAAAGAAAAGGCAGAGTCTGTAGCATTGCAGGCGCTAAACAACCAATTGACTCAAGTGGGAAAGGCTTTTATAGATTCCAGAGTATTGAACCCCAACCCCGATGTGTTTCAACATGTTCTCGGTGCAGGCAAATTTAGCGGCGTCTCGAATGCATTGAACACTAATGACACCTCAAAGATTCAGGAACAATTGTCAATTGTATCGGTGGCCATTTCGACCGTCGCTAAGATCTTACAGCCTATAAGAACTCTTCCTGAGGAGTAAATGTATCATAAAAGGAAGAAATAACTTATGTCAGAGAGAAGTAACAGTAAATATGCAGGTGTTATGGAAAACATTTTCCAGATCTTCGGTTTTAATTATGATTTGTAGAGTTTTGCAAAGGGCATGGCGAATTTTTATCATAACCAAAAGTTACTTCTCGGCTTAAAGAAAATAGTTGTTAGTTTCAATCTGCTCTAATATAGCGAATGGCATAAAGAACGGAAATTACAGGACTTCAAAATTTATAATCCATGCTTTTAAACACAGACGCAAAGTTTAACTGGGCAATATCCATTGTATGATTTTATGTCCGTTAGTGATCCAGCCTTTAAGCAGAAGCCAGGCCTCATTTGTTTCTGTTTTTATACAAAACTTGCTACTTTTGAAATGCAGTTATTCTCTGGGGGTATCATGTATCTAGTATCAAACTTCTATCATCACGAATCAACCCAGACCTTGCTTTATTACCGAAACTTTTTTACACCTCATCGAAATGTAAAATAGTTTTATAATAGTGACTGCTTTATTTGCATATCGAAAATGGTAGGCAATAGACCTCAAAACCATAATTCCTTTAGCAGCTTGCTCTATAAATTAAAATGGCTATGTGTTGGTCGTGCGGGTCAGATGAAGTCATTTTGGATTTTAATTTTTTATGACTTAAAGAAACGAGAAAAATGGTAAAAAACACAAAAATATTCCAAAACAATAATTATCTGCTAACAAAGTCTCAAATGCCATTCAGAAAACTGAAAAAAGTACCATTAAAAAAGCATTTTGTTTGAGGCAACTGCTAGGGCAATGAAAAAAAAAAAAATGAAAAGTGTAAATGGAGGTAATTAATAGCTTACATTATAAAGAGGTAAAGTGTTAGAGACATTAGAAAGAAGAACACACTTGTACTCTATAATTCGCTTTTCCTTAGCGTTTTGCTAACTGTGAATACGCATACAACGAAAAGTGTTCATGACACTGCTTGAGAGGTTGTGTCAATCAGTGTCACAAGGTAGCCATAAGTATTGACAGCAGCACAATATGTTAAAAAAGCAGTGTTACACCAGCAGTATGATAATCATAAAAGTTCTACATTAAAACAAATTGACTGATAGTTGTGGTTTTTCCACGATTTTGTGTGTTTGTTTCCACGCTTTCCAAATCAAAAATGTTCGTGTTAACTGTCTCATCTTAAAAGAATCCTCAGAAATGTTGAATACCTTTGAAAATGAGAGATTCAAACCTCAATATCATTGCGGCATTATACCTTTTTTTGAACCTGAGGTTAAAAAAGCCAAGGAACTTATTCAGTATGCCAAAAGCTGATTGGTCAAAGAGTGCAGGAAATAAGTACTTTGATGTAGCTGGGAAACTTAGTTAAGGCGATGAAAAGAAAGTTTCCAAGAGGCAAATGTAAACATTTACTGAGCTTTTATTTTGTTCGGTTACAATTACGTTAATGATGCTGTTTTCTGACCAAGTTATTATATTGTCCCAATAAGCTAATTTTGCACTCAGGTTGCAGTTTAAGGCTTGTCCAAACGGGAAATGTTTGGTGACCAAACATCATCAAACATTGTTGGGTGACCAAACATGCTGATGTCGAAGTTAGTGACCCAACGGTTAAAACATATTTGATTAAACACAGTTCAAGCTATGGATACCAGCCGGTGAGCACGCGTGATAGGTATGCGCGCGCCAAACATGTTTGATACGGCTGTCCAAGCGAACAAAACATCGCCCATCAAACACGAGAACAAAAGAAAAGTTTTAAGTTGTTTGATCGAATGTTTGATGGTCTTCAAATTTGATCAAACACGACCAAACACGATCAAACAGCACCAAACAAGGTGGCCAAACGGTAAAATGTTTAGTCACCAAAAAATGTTTGATGGTGTTTGGTCGCCAAACATTTCCCGTTTGGACAGGCCTTTACATGCATCAACCAAATTCCTCATTTACATGTAGGGAGAGGTAAATGAGGATAATGACGACCATGTTTTTTTTTCTTAATAATTTTAATTTACAAAACACTATTCTACAAACATTACAATGCAGGTCTCATTACGCTATTCTACTCACAGAACATTACTTACGTTACTTACAATACGGGTTACTCATGCTGGCAATACAATACCGAATACAGTTTCTCACAGAAAATACAATTACTTGCAATACGGGCTACTTACACTGCTAACAATATAATACTCTACTTACATTACTTGCTGTACATACAGTTACTTACAATACGTTATACTGAATATTGACTTTGAGGAGGGAGGAGTGCTTAGTTCCTTGCCCCCGAGTGGGGGATAGGGCCGGACAAGGAGGGAGGAGTACTTCTCACTAAAACCTTTAATTAAGACAAATTTTCACCTTCAAATTTACACGTTCAAATGAAATCTTAAACAATCGGGCATAACGCCTGGTGATTCTTTGTACATTTCAAGCACTCGAGAAGCAAATTTTTCTCAAGATGTTAGCAAAATCTCTATAAATCTCGGCAGAGCAAGATTCTTCCGGGTTTTCACAGCATTTTATGAAATTCTGAACACTGGAACACAATCGTACTCCGTTTTCCATATCTTGTTCCGTTTGAATTGCAAAGCCTTACCTGAAAATTAAAAAAGTACTAATTAGATAAAATAAATAGTTTGGAAGTTTTTTCGGGGAAACTTCCTAACTAAAGGTGCCACTCAACAGCACCTTACTAAAATGAAACGCCCATAAAATGGAGAAAAAGGAGACCTGCGATAGCGCGCGAATAAAACGTGATTATTCAGTAAATGGTTTGAACCCAGGAGTATCAGTAGTTCGTATAGTGTGATCGTCCGGGTGAGTGTGGTTCTGAAAAGAACTGTTGTTGGTGACTAACGTTTCGACAACCTGATTATCGATCTGCAAACACTATGTAGCGTGAAAACAAGCGATTCCATTGGCTACGAGGTTATCGCAATAAATAAACAACGAGGTATGGTTATTATCATCTGATATCCAACAGAAAACGAAATAATCGTTTTAGTAAATACTCCATAACGAATTTCTTTGCTTGTTTGACTCGAGACAGGTAAAGTAAGCTCTAAGCGGCTATATGCTGTAGTCGGAAATCTTGTGGCAGTAAATTTGCTTGGGTATGACGTATTCACGCGTCAAAAACAGCTACTGTTGAGCGTTCTTATATACGTACCAACACCTGGGTAGGCGATATTTCTGGTCAGCTGATAAAACATGTAAACAGAGAATTAACATCTGTGCGTCAACTGATTGGATTGAATGATCTTTTTATCCTGAGCGGTTTGTTGTCTAATTTCATGTGATTATGCGCTTGTGAGTTTTAGATGGATATAGGAAAAATTATCTAGGGAGTATCACCTGATCTGTAATGGGAAAAGAAACTGCCCAAGCTATAAAGGTCTATAGATATTATATTCAAACCCTTTAACCTTTTCTTTCCTACGCCTGTTTATCGAGCCGTGAACACTGTTTGACGTTTTTCTAAATCTCCTCGTACTCGTTAATATATTCACAAAGACTGATTGGTAAAAAAAAAAAACATCCTCAGCTAAGCAATCTGTTTTAGTTAGAGTTATTTATTACACAGACAGGAGTGATTTATTGAAAAATTGAAAAATTTATACGAAACAACATCCGGGCGGCTCCAGCGGCGTATTTTCATGTTCTCGGTAAAGAGGATATTGATCACGCCATTGACCGCTTTTTAACAGTTGTTTGCGTCAACAGTTAGTTTGTCTATAGAATAAATGTATAATATGTATGTGTAATAATATATGATAATATCTTGTGTTAAAAATCCCCAATATTTTACTCTTTAGCTGCGCTTGTTCGTAAAGTATTGTTTCTACAGCTTGAAAATAAAGTTCATATCTTCGTGTCGCGATATAAGATCCTTTATGTTTAACTGCGTAACATGAAAGCGCTGAGCAAAAAAGTTAGTTATTTTTACGCAACACTCTTCATAGAAAATAACGTGCAGGCTTTATCGGCAGAATAGAGCTGGTCCTGTTGAAATGTGGTTTGGTATACGCCGGCAACGGATAATCGTTCCATCCAGTTTCACGTGCGCTATTTCGTGAATTACTTACGCCTCTTTGGAATGCGCCAGAAAAACAAAACAAAACATTGTTGCGTAATCGTGTGCCATTTCTTAGGTTACATCTACATGACATGCTAAACACCACTGTGCATTAATCTTTGGACGTCAAGTAGAATGAGGCTTGTTTTTGTCAGTATGGGATTAATGCTCCGGGACTGTTTTATTTGTATTGCTCAACTGACGTTCGTTTGTATGCTCAGTTTTAAGGCTATAAAGTAAAACAAAGACTAATTGAAGACACCATAACTGAAGTTGTTAACAAAAAGTCATTGCCTTAAGCTCCTCGAGCTCGTTGCCTTAAACAATCATTTCGCCCGGTTAGTCATTAGGAAGGGTCGAAGGGAAAATAGCTAATCTCCCTTCGACCCTGCCCATGACTCCCCGCGCGCCTTAATTTACCCTAGTATCCAATCTTCTCTCTCCCAAAAACACGTAAATAGCGACTGGGTACGAGTCTGGCACAGCCCGTATTTTCACTTGAGAGAATAAATTAGTAAAAAATGCTTTCGGCGTGATTTACAAAACTCGTAAACTATTTAGTTGGTTTTTATGAAAATCTTTGTGTGATTAGACAGTCTGTAGGCTGTCAAGTGGTTTCTTCAGAGAGTTGGTACTTTTAGTAGTATCGTGTAAAGTGTACCATTCTATTTGCTGCTGACCTGAAGTATCGTTGGCGCACCGAAGATGCTGCAGTAGTCAGTGGACCGCGGCCTTTTAGGCCCCTAAAAAACAACGGGCCCTTTTTATTGTTGATTGTGTCGAGTGTGGCAAATTATTCAGTTGTTCCTGAAAAACAGCAGGTAAAAATGTCTCATACTTTGAGTGAACTAAGTATAGGGAGAGCGCATGATGTAGAGAATTCGGATTAATCTCAAGTTTCTGAATGTTCTACGACCACAGTTCATTCAGCTAGTTCGGCCGCAGATTAACAACAAGGCCAGGAAGCAATGTCGATCTTTACCGGTGCTGTTATTCATGGTGGTCAGTTCAACATCTCTATCAGCAGCCTTAATCAATCACCGACCTTGGCCACTCCAGAAACTCAGATAAAGTCTGCAAAGCGGTGCAAAAGACTTAAAGTACTCGACTCCGATTCAGAGTAGAAACTCTTTGTTAGTTTGAAAGCTTATGTGAGCTAATATTTTCAGAAACTCTTCAAATGTCAAAAGTAAGCCTAAATTTCTTTGAATGGACTTTGTAATCTTTTT